TGTATGTGTGTGGGGTGTATGTGTGTATATGTGGTGGGGGGGTGGTATATGTGGTGGATTCACCACCCCCACCGGGGGCCTCCCAGGGGTCCAATCCTAGTGAAGAGAGCAGAGGCGGGATCGCTACCTTGGGTTTATTCTCACTGACAGGCACAAGGTAGTGGCCCCATAGAGCATCTTCCCCCACTTTGGTGCAGGGGGACAGGGACCCAAGCCCCTACATGGGGGCCCCTCTGGGTCTGGGGACTGTGCCTGCACCAGAACCAAGCTGGGTCCCAAGTCTCGGCAGGGCTCCCAGGAGGTTTCCTGAGACCCCTGTGTCCCACCACCAGGGTGATAGTTGGCTGTGCCAGTGCTGCAGGGGCAGCCCTAGCATGGGGACAGCAAGCCCTCCTCAGCCCCCACCAGGTCTTTGCACCCACCCCACCCCATCCCTCAGGGGGCTGCTTGTCTGTCGCCCAGCATGATGCCCGGTGTGCAGTGACCAATGCAATGCCCACTGCCCTGCTCGGTCACTGCGAGGGCCCCTGGCTCAAGACGGCAGAGGGCAGCCCAGGGAGGGGCTTCCGGCGGCTGGCTTCAGCAGACCATCAGGGCCCAGGAGATGACAGTCGGGATCGTCCAGGACTTGAGGCCCCGGCCCTGCCTGGGGGCAGAGAATGATGTCAGGTCACCCCACCTGCTTCCATGGCTTTGGGGGGCTGTAGGACTCCTTGGGGCAGGTTAGAGAGAAGGTCAGAGCGGCCCTGCCCCCACTGCCCTGCAAGACAGGGGGAGCTGATGGTGACCCTGGGCCCTCAGCTCTCTCTCACAGTCCAGCACCCAGTCACCTGTCGGAGATGGAGCACTCGGCCCTGGTTCCTGTCAGCGGCCCCTCCCTCATTGCTGTCCCCAGCCTGTCCCCCCCAGGACCGTACCACAGCCACACACTGCACTCAGGCCCCCAGTTCTTCTCACGAGGGATGCAGGGTGCAGGGGTGTCGTCCGGCCTCACCTTTGTAGCGATAACATATCGGATGCGGCCAGGGGTCGGGTCCAGGGCCAGGGCGGCCTTCAGCTCATCCGAAAGTGTGACTGGCCTCACTGGCAGCCCCTTCAGGAACCTGGGCAAAGGCAGTGGCTCACTCTGGCCCTAGCTCCCAGTCACCACGCTGGCACCCCCCAGGCGGCAGAGACTCAAGGCCAGGCAGCTTTCCCGGACTCCCTGACAGGAAGGGGACTCAGGCCCGGTGGGGCCACAGGTTGTCCCCGTCGGGGAAGGATGGCCCCGGGGCCCCCACTCTCAGATGAGGAGATCCCGGGGACACAGGACACAGTTCACCAAGCGGGCAGAGGAGATCCAGTAACTGCTCACGGGAGTGGTCCTCCCTAGGGGACCCCAAAATGCACCACAGCCACCCAGAGGTGTCCCCACACAGTCAATAGCAGCCCCACCCAATGCAGCCTGCCTCTGGGGGCCATCCATGCCCTGTGCTTGGCTTGGCAGGAGCTCCCCACCCCACCCCAAGAAGTGCTGGGGCTGCCACTCACTTGTCCCCATTGGACTCCGGGGGAAAGCAGTGCCTCAGGGCTGCCACCAAGTCCTCCAGGGAGTCCTCCAGAGTGAAGACCACTGCATTGGGGCCCGCGTCAAATGTGTACGCCGCCTGCAATGCCGGCGCTGCTCAGCCCGCGCCCACCGCACCGCACCGCCTGCCTCCCACATGGAACCCACGGGCCCGCAGGGGAAGGGTATGCTCTGTGAGCCCCGGTACCTTGGTCTGTCCGTGGTGGGCATTGAAGCGGTGGACCAGGTGCATGATGGCCCAGGAGGTGTCGTTGAGGTAGGAGATGGGCGGAAAGGTGTCCAGGCAGGTGGCGTGGAACTGGTTGCTGTCTTTCATGGTCAGCTCCCCAAACCCGGCGAAGTCACGCTCACGGACACACCGAATCATCTCTGCCATGCGGGCCGGCACCACCGATGTAGCCCGGAACTGCGGGGCCGCCTTTGATGAGATCCTGCTCTCCGGCCCCGCAGCGCCCGCCCCTGCCCCAACCCTCTGCCCCAGCCCGCAGCCCCTCACCTGGAGCAGGGCGCTGGTCTCCACGCTGCTCTGCATGCCCACCGTGCTGCCCATTGGCTTCTGCTCGGAGCTCACCTACAGCCCAGGATGTCTGTGCTGTCTCCACGCACACGCCTGGGCGGCTCCCATCCTCCCCCGCCCCCACCCACCCACTCTGCTGCCATGGGGCTCCTGTGTGGGGGCAGCATGAGGCTCCCAGGCTGTGCTGAACCACCAAGGAGCAGCTCTGGGCACCACTGCCTCACTCACTCACCACGAGGACAAGGACCCTGAGCTCTGGCCAGTGTGACTCGGGGGCCACCTGCTGGGCTACGCTGTCTCTGCCATCCGGCCTCTCCCCCATGTGCCACTCCACAAAGCCACCGTACAGGCTCCGACAGGCGCTGCCTGAGCCGCGACGGGCCACCTCTGAGAGCTCGGCCTCCACGCCATAGACTCGGGCCAGTGTGTAGGCTGCAGGCACAGAGGCGGGGCTCAGACACAGCCAAGCGGGGGCCAGGTGACCAGGCCCAGACACTGCTGTGCCCCATGGGCCAGGTGCCCAGGCCCCCCTGGCTGTGCCCCATGGGGAGTCCACCACACAGAGACCCCCGAATGGCCTAGCCACCAGCTTCAAGAACTGGCGGTTACTGCCCACTCGAGCATCTGCCCACCGTCCTCACACTCTACTCTGCCCGCCAAGTCCTGCTCTGGACTGGGACACAGCTGCAGCCTAGCCCAGCCTAGGGGCTCAGTGGTGTGGGGTCCTTGAACCTGTGGAGACCCGAGGCTGAAGAGTCTTGAGGAGTGACAGCTAGGCACCTGAGTGGTCTGGGGGATGGGGGGTGGGGGAGTCTCCAGAGGTGTCTGTGTGTGTGTGGGGGGGGGGGTCTGAGCATAGGCATGCATGGCACCTCCTTCCCTGCTTCTCAGTGCCAGTGCCCCCAAGGGTCCGCCAGCCCCCAGGCCTGTGATGTTGGCGTGACTGTGGCTAGGTGGCTAGGTGGTGGGTGGCAGGCACTGTGCTGCTGCGGTTGGACCACCAGGCAGTGAGCACACAGGTGCTGCTGGAGCCCCAGACCCTGCAGTTCCACCCCACAGTTGGGGTGGGTCTCTGTCCCAGCTGGGCAACCAAGGGACTGGAAGGTTCTAGCATGTACACTGGGGCAACACTAGGGATGGGGAGGTCAGAGGCTGGGGTGGGGCACACCCACCCAGGCAGGCGTAGCCCGCAGCGGAGGATGCCAGACCGGCGGCCGTGGGGAAGTTGTTCTCTGAGGCCACGTGCACCTTGTAGCTGAGGCGAGGCGGCCCGTCCCCATCATCATCTGAGCTCCTGTGCTTCTGGGCCAGGCGATGGACTGCAGGGGGCCAGTATCAGTGACCAGGGAGCTGCCCACCTAGGCCCAGACCCTCCCTCGGGCTCCAGAAAGCAGGGGAGGGGTGACCCCAGGACTCACTCTCCCTCAGACAGGACTGCAGGCGTGGCTGCCCCACGTCCACCTCCATGCCATTCAGCCAGAGCCGGTCCTCCGTGAAGTCCTTGCTGATGGCGGCAGTGGTGGTGGTTCTTAGCTGGAAGGGAAGCGTTGTCACCAGGGGCCAGAGCAGAGTCCAGTCCAGCACCCCTCTCTGCCAAGACGCCCCTCAGGAACAGCCCCGGGGGCGGGTGGCTGGGCTGGCAGTGGAGATGCTGAAGGGGGAAAGTTCCAAACAGCATGTGGCCATTATGGAGGGGCAGATGCCCCCAGGGTTCTGGGGTGTATATGCACTGGTGTGCACGTATGTAGGTGATGAAACCCTGCCTGGGGCACATGTACGTGTGTGTGCATGCATGCACGTGTAGGAAATGAAACCCTAAGGAATGTGTGTGCACCATGGCATGTGTATGTGTGCTGATGGGTGTACACATATATATATATGTGTGTGTAAGACCTTATACAGTGGTGCAAGTGCTTGATGTGTATACAATGGCATGTGGGGTGTGTGTGTGTGTGTGTGTGTGTGTTTGCTGCTGAGGCCTTAGACTCCAGGGTGTGTACGTGTGCATGTGTGCACATGAGTAAATATACAGTGGTATGTGTATGGTGTGTATACAATAGCTTGTGTGTGTGCCTAGACCTGAAACTCCAGGGCGTGCATGTATGCGTGTGTATGTGGCGAGCGCTCAGTGGACAGGGGACAGCTCTGCAGTCAGCCAGGTCCGTGTCCCTGCTGAGCCCTTACCCACCCTCACAGAGCACCACCTGGCTTGCTCCCGGCCGGTGCCCACCTGGTCCTGGTGCAGCGTGACGCTCAGGGACGAGTTGAGGGGCAGGATCAGCTCCTTGTCGCGCTTTCCCCCTGGGGTGGACAACCACAGGCAGGGTCTGTCTGTAGCCTTTCCCCCTCCACGGCCGCCCCCTGTCCACTGCCTTCTTCTAAGGCCTCCTGAGGCTGGGCATCCCACTCCCCCTCATGGCGACCAGTGTGCACTGTGCCCCACAGGGCTTCTGGGCTGCACGCTTGATGGAGATGGGTGGTCAGGCATTTCTTCTGCAGCACCGCTAGGTGAGCTTGGCCCAACAACAGCTGATACTTGCAGTCAAGTGCAGACTGTACCACCGATGGAGTTCAGAGACCCAATGTCTATATCTTGTCTGTATCAATGTAAAGACCCTGGCTGCTATGATGTTCCATTGTTACATTGCTTTGTTACATCGCTACATTGTCACTAGTTTTTCAAGAATTGAGTAAAGGGGACCTAGGCCCGTGTGCCTCCAGTGAGGGCAAAACAAAAGGCCCAATTAAATGGAAACAGAAAAAGCTGGGGACCTGGGTGGTAGGTATCTCAGGTGACCTGGGCAGCTTGCCAGTGGGCGCAGGCGGTATTGGGTAAGATGCTCCCCAACCTGTCCTCCTAGAATGGGGGAGGGGACAGTTATCCCAAGCACTGCCAGCTGTGATAGGACAACTCCCAATCGGCATGTCCCAACATCCCCCTTGGCCCCAGCCTGGGCATGACGCTTGGAACTGCTCTGGGCCTCAGTTTCCTTATCTGTAGATGGGAAGCTAACAGGACCAGCCGGGGATCAGAGTGTGGCTGAAGAGATGATTGGGGGACACAGTGGACAGTGGCTCACAATGGCCACCACACACACCAGTGCTAAGGTGATTCACAGTAGGAGCACCACCAGATTCTCAGCCACCATATTCCCACACCCACTTCCTGCCTGCAAGGTCAGTGAATAGCAGACCCCATCCCACCTCTGACCCTGAGCAGGGTGTGTGGACCCAATGACCCCTACCTCACACCCACCCTCTGCGGGGTGAGTGGACAGACATGGTGCTCGCCAACCCAGCTGTCACCATGCCTGCAGACCTCACTCCACTTCTCTGCACGGTGAGTGGTGGCCTGGCTGACCTTTGCCCTCCTGACCCGCAGCCCCTGAAGGGTGAGCGGTGGTCAGGCTGACCCCCGCGTGGGCGCTGATTCCGACCCCCGTGGTGGGCGCCGGGGCGTCTCGGGCTGCCTGCCCGCACCTCCTCGCTACTCACAGTACTTGATGACGGCGATGTTGACGGGCGCGGTGCAGGTGACCATCCTGAACGGCTTCTCAGAAGCCATGGTTGAGCACTGGGCATCCGAACTGGCAGCTACGCCGCGCCGCGCCGCGCCCCCGGGCCGCCGACTCCTAGCCTCACGCGCTGCGCCGCGATTGGCCCCGGATCCCGACTGCCCGCGCGGCGACCAATCAGCGGTGGGTCCGGCCCACGCGTCACCCCTGAGCCAATGAGACGCATCGGACGATAGAACGCTGACGTTGGGCCCGCCTCTCGCCGCCCAGCCGGTGAGTCTGCGCAGGCGCCGAGTGTGCGCAGGCGTCGGTGCACTTCCGGCGAGCGGGCTTTGCAGTGGGGAAGCTGCTTGTTCCGGGCTGGGCGGTGCTGAGCGGCTGACCGTGGGGAAGTAGGGGCCCCTGGCCCTCCAGCCCCGCAGCCAGCGGTCTCCCCGCCGCCTGAGTTCTCCCTGCAGAACTTAGCCTGGGATTCCTCTGCTAAAGAGCTGAACGCATTGAAGATCGACGTTCTCAGAGCCCCGCCCATTCTGGAATGTTTTTTTAATGAGTCGTGTTTAAGAAGACGTACGAGTTTGGGCACCTGGCCCGCCGAACCCCAGCTCTGAGCCGACCAGTCCCTGGAGTGTCCGTTGGTGTGTGTGTCTCAGCCGGATAGGCTGTGTTGCGCCATGTGTCCCCGCCTTGACTGGCTCACGGAGACCCTGCCCAGTCCCAGGGAGACAACACCCCTCTTCTGTCCCCTGGAACGCTGCGCTCCCTCTGGCAGCCCCTAGATGCTGGGTGCCAGCGAGCTTGTTACCATGGTTGGCCATCGGACACGCGCTTGGAGCAGATGTGGGCATTTCTGGAGGAAAATGCCCTAGAAGAGGAAGTGTGTATGGGCGGGTGGCGGGTGCGCACCCCTTACTGGAGTCTCAATCTTCTCTCTGTACCTTAAATGGGTATCTCCGAGGCTGAGTATGCATTTCCACAGCTCTCGCAATCAGTTTCTGTTGCTGCAACACCACTTGGCCATCGCCAGAAGGTGGCCAGAGCCATCCCGCGGGTCACGGAGTGCCCTGCTTGCTCTAGCTCGGAGGGGGCAGTGCTGAGCAGAGCCACCAGTAAAGGTTGGCCAGCAGTCCATCGCACCCAAATTACAGCCTAGAAACCTCTCTGGGCAGCCCTCCTCAGACTCGAGTCCGGTGGGAACAGCCTGGCTGTGGGTACCGAACCACAACCTCAAAGAGGGACCGCTCCTCATGGTTAAGAAAACTCACTCCCTGGGAGGCAGTCCTGAAATTCTGACTCACACTCTACAGGACAAGATAGGGTGGAACTGTCTTTGTGGGTTTCTGAGACTAACCCTTTAAGGGAGTTAGGTTAGTCTGGATGGACTAGAGAAACAAATTCCTAGACTCTCATGTGTATTAGAAAGAGCTTTCTATAAAAGAGCAATTGTATATCGAAAACACATCCCAGCCCAGTGCAGATCAAGTCCTTAACTTCGATATTGCCCAATATGTCTGATCCCAGTCTATAAATTCCTCTTCAGACACACAACACATGAAATGACGCCAAATGCAGGAAGATCACAGGCCAGTGGGTGGAAAGTCTTAATGATCCAGTGATGGTGGAAGCTTCTCAGGGCTAACATGGGTCTTCAAGTGGCTCCTCCTGCCTCAAGGCTCTGGTTCCATCAGCTTAGCTACAGGTATCTTGTCAACAGGAAGATGGACAGAGTGCCCCCTCCAGGGAGGAAGACAGGAGTTCCCAGAATCCTCAGGAGAAGGCCACACCACACGGAGGCCTCCTTGGCTATGACCTGATTGACAGGCTAGACTCCACCCCTTTGCAAGTTGACAGGAGATGATGTAACTGCTACATCTTTCCCCCCCTGGAGCTGCTAGTGGTTTTGAACTGCTGACCTTACAGTTAGCAGCCAGCAGGTAGCCCACCGTCCCCCAGGGCTGCTCTCCACGCGCCATCATCGGGAAGAAAAAAACAGTGTGCTCCAGCTTCCTGCTGAGCCCCAGGGGCCACGTTCAGATCTGTCTGTGCTTCTCCTCCGCTGTTCACAGTCCTTTTGTTCAGAGATCACCTGCCAGCAAGAAACACGGCTCTGTATTAGTCTGGGTACTTTAGAGAAACAAATCTACAAAAAATCATGTAAAAGAGAGTTTTATATAAAGGTTAACTGTGCATCAAGAAAACATCCCAACACAGTGCTGCCCAAGCCCACAGTCCAATATTCACCCATTAACCCATATGTCCAGCACCAGTCCACAAAGTCCTCCTCTATCTCACAAAGCAGACACAATGATGGTGATGCAGGAGGAAAGCTGAGTCAGTGAACGTGTGAACATCTCAGCGCTGGCAGGGGTCTCCACACAGGTGCTCCAGCACCCAGGGCTGCATCGGGGTAGGTCCATGTGGCTTCCCCTTGGGGATGTCTTGCAGGAAGTCAGTCTTGCAAGCTGAAGCAGGGAACTGGCTAAGGCAGCTGCACCCTGGTGCGACCATCACAAAGCAAGAGACCTGAGAACTAGAAAGGTGAGGCTCATGGAGCCATTTATCCCTCCACCCTTCAATTAATCCCACATGTGTTTATTGGCCAGGTTGGCACAATAAACTAACTCAATCCACCCCTTACCAACCTGGCACCTGTATATAATTCTTTAGCATCACAATTGCAATTAAGGAACACCTACGCCTTAACCCTATAATCCTGTGAATTTTTGCCCCCACCTATGAAAGTTTGTAAGCCAACCACTTCATGCCTTTATCTCCCCCAATTTTAGGTATCCAATTTATATACTTCCCACTTACATCAACCCAGTTCTCTGAGAAGACAATCATGTTTTTCAACATGAAGAGTCTTCATTCCAGTTGGACCCTTGTGAAGTCTGCATCCATAAGCAAAGTCAAATCCGGACAGGCCATCCATGAAGTCAGCAACAATATGCACCAGTTCACAGGCTCAAAAGTCTCCAGCTGGTCGGGTTCTGGTCAACTCACTGTGGGCTGCCTCACTCAGCCTCCACAAGGTGCCCATTGGTCGCCTTGCCTTTAGACCATGGGCTCTCACCAATACTCAACAAGCCTAGCCCCCTCAGGTTAGGTCATGAACCTTAGACCAGTCAACCCGCTCTCATCTTCTTTTTTTTTTCTCTGTAAACCAAGTCCACAGGTGTCAGTGGCCAAACCTGTCTCTTTATTGCTGCATTTCTCCCACGTCCACTCAACAAGTAGATCCAGGTGGTCACCTAGCAAGCATTTCAGCCTGCTCACAGGCTCCCTTTAACATTCCGTCCCAGAGAGGAGTTTTCTTCATGGTTCCAGATTTTTTCCAGCTGCTGACAAAGACTACTGGGTCCTGAGAACTCCAAAGCACTGGGTGGGGCATATATTTTCAAAGCTTTTTATAGCTATGGCCTAAACCCATTTAAAGATCAAATTTTAATGACTGAAGCAAGTGGACTTACAAACTCTCTATTTTCCCACTTCCCATATTTTCCCCAGAAAAGCAACCGAGTAAATAGTGTGGCTTTATCTGACCTCTGGCTAGACAAAGAAGGAAAACTTCCATGAGGGAGAGGTCAAACAAACATCTACTCTCCATCTTATGATTTGTTTCTCCAATACCCCACTCCCAAGGTACCATAATGTATTAGTCTGGGTACTTTGGAGAAACACATCCACAGAAACTCATGTATAAGAGAGAGTTGGTAAGTGCGCATCAAGAAAACATCCCAACCCAGTGCTGCCCAAGCCCACAGTCCAATATTCACCCATTAACCCATATGTCCAGCACCAATCCACAAAGTCCTCCATCTCACAAAACGGACGCAATGATGCTGACTGCAGGAGGAAAGCTGAGTCAGTGAACGTGTAAACATCTCAGCTCTGGCAGGGGTCTCCACACAGCTGCTCCAGCACCCAGGGCTGCATCGGGATAGGTCCATGCGGCTTCTCCTCAGGGTGTCTTGCAGGAAGTCAGCCTTGCAAGCTGAAGCTGGGAACTGCTAAGGCAGCTGCACCCTGGTGCGACCATCACAAAGCAAGGGACCCGAGAACTCAGAAGGCGAGCCATTTATCCCTCCGTCCTTCAATTAACCCCACATGTGTTTATCAGTCAGGTTGGCACAATAAACTAACTCAGGCTCCTTGTCTGCGCCAGCCACATGCTAGCTTATTCCCCTGTCTGGTTACATCTGGATCTGCCACTGTCCTGGTAGACAGTCTGGATCCTGTTCACAGCTGGGCCTCGTGGCTGCAGTGTATCTGGTGACAGGTGTGTGGGCAGCGGGGACCCTATTGGGTAGGAAGGCTCAGATTCCCCACGTCCACAATGGGGACACCTGCCCTCCTGGACAGTCGCCTGCCCATGAGAAAGGGACTGTGGCTACTCTTCTTGTGAACTAGCAGTGTGACATCCATATTTTCCCCTGCTCCAGCTTTCTCTCCAGTGAGTCTGGTGGCACAGTAGGTTGAGCAGTTTGGGTCACCTGGGTGGGGGCTGCCAACCAGAGGGCAGAAACACCACCCTCGTTTGAAGTGCTCAGTTACAACGCCTTACAAAGGCCATGGTAGGAGGGGCAGGGACTTGGGAACACAGGTTGCAATTCAAGGCTACATAGCCAGACCCCCGCCCCCCTCCCCCGAGACACCCCCCACCCTACCTGCACAGGCCGGAGAAAGTGTGGGCCGTGGGTTTGGGCTCATCACGGGGTCTCGTGGAAGCCATTCAGGTTCTAAGTCGGCGGATCCAGTCGAAGCAGAAAGGCAGAGTTTTAAGGAGACCGGAGGGGGTCCCCACCTCCAGGATGTTGATGTGGAATCTGTCAGCCCAGTGCCCCCAGAGACATGGGGGGCTCCGTCACAAAGCAGCACTGGGGGGCCTGCAGCCCATGCGTGCTCCCTTTGTTCCCGATACATGTGGTTAAGCATGTCTCTGCCTCAGACAAGCTCTCCAGGTCAGGCCCCACTCATTTCACCAGGGGGGGGGGGGGGGGGGCCTTTCAAACAAGGCCACCCACCCCCCCTCATTCAAGGCAGAGGGGCCACTGGGGGGAGCACTCCAAAGGGATCATCTTGGCAGGCT